GTCCAGGATAGATCACATCTTGGGTCACAAATCAAGCCTCAGTAAATTTAAGAAAATTGAAATCATATCAAGCATCTTTTCTGACCACAACGCTATGAGATTAGAAATGAATTACAGGGAAAAAAAAGTCAAAAACACAAACACATGGAGCCTAACAATATGTTACTAAATAACCAAGAGATCACTGAAGAAATCAAGAGAAAATAAAAAAATACCTAGAGACAAATGACAATGAAAACATGACGATCCAAAACCTATGGGATGCAGCAGAAGCAGTTCTAAGAGGGAAGCTTATAGCTATACAAGCCTACCTCAAGAAACAAGAAAAATCTCAAATAAACGACCTAAACTTACACCTAAAGCAATTAGAGAAAGAAAAACAAACAAAACCCAAAGTTAGCAGAAGGAAAGAAATCATAAAGATCAGAGCAGAAGTCAATGAAATAGAAACAAAGAAAACAATAGCAAAGATCAATAAAACTAAAAGCTGGTTCTTTGAGAAGATAAGCAAAATTGATAAACCATTAGCCAGACTCATCAAGAAAAAGAGGGAGAGGACTCAAATCTATAAATTAAAATGAAAAAGGAGAAGTTACGACACCGCAGAAATACAAAGCATCCTAAGAGACTACAACAAGCAACTCTATGCCAATAAAATGGACAACCTGGAAGAAATGGACAAATTCTTAGAAAGATACAACCTTCCAAGACTGAACCAGGAAGAAATAGAAAATATGAACAGACCAATCACAAGTAATGAAATTGAAACTGTGATTAAAAATCTTCCAACAAACAAAAGTCCAGGACCAGATGGCTTCACAGGTGAATTCTATCAAACATTTAGAGAAGAGCTAACACCCATCCTTCTCAAACTCTTCCAAAAAATCGCTGAGGAAGGAACACTCCCTAACTCATTCTATGAGGCCACCATCACCGTGATACCAAAACCAGACAAAGATACTACTAAAGAAGAAAATTACACTGATGAATACAGATGCAAAAATCCTCAACAGAATACTAGCAAACAGAATCCAAGAACACGTTAAAAGGATCATACACCATGATCAAGTGGGATTTATCCCAGGGATGCAAGGATTCTTCAATATACACAAACCAATCAATGTGATACACCATATTAACAAATTGAAGAATAAAAACCATATGACCATCTCAATAGATGCAGAAAAAGTTTTTCACAAAATTCAACACCCATTTATGATAAAAACTCTCCAGAAAGTGGGCATAGAGGGAACCTACCTCAACATAATAAAGGCCATATATGACAAACCCACAGCAAACATTATTCTCAATGGTTAAAGACTGAAAGCATTTCCTCTAAGATCAGGAACAAGACAAGGATGTCCACCCTCGCCATCATTATTCAACATAGTTTTGGAAGTCCTAGCCATGGCAATCAGAGAAGATAAAGAAATAAAAGGAATACAAATTGGAAAAAAAGAAGTAAAACTGTCACTGTTTGCAGATGACATGATACTATACATAGAGAATCCTAAAGATGCCACCAGAAAACTACTAGAGCTAATCAATGAATTTGGTAAAGTTGTAGGATACAAAATTAATGCACAGAAATCTCTTGCATTCCTATACACTAATGATGAAAAATCTGAAAGAGAAATTAAGGAAACACTCCCATTTACCACTGCAACAAAAAGAATAAAATACCTAGGAATAAACCTACCTAGGGAGACAAAAGACCTGTATGCAGAAAACTATAAGACACTGATGAAAGAAATTAAAGATGATACCAACAGATGGAGAGATATACCATGTTCTTGGATTGGAAGAATCAATATTGTGAAAATGACTATACTACCCAAAGCAATCTACAGATTCAATGCAATCCCTATCAAATTACCAATGGCATTTTTTACAGAACTAGAACAAAAAATCTTAAAATTTGTATGGAGACACAAAAGACCCCGAATAGCCAAAGCAGTCTTGAGGGAAAAAAACGGAGCTGGAGGAATCAGACTCCCTGACTTCAGACTATACTATGAAGCTACAGTAATCAGGACAATAAGGTACTGGCACAAAAACAGAAACGTAGATCAATGGAACAGGAGAGAAAGCCCAGAGATAAACCCACGCACCTATGGTCAACTAATCTATGACAAAGGAGTCAAGTATACACAGTGGAGGAAAGACAGCTTCTTCAATAAGTGGTGCTGGGAAAACTGGACAGCTACATGTAAAAGAATGAAATCAGGACACTCCCTAACACCATACACAAAAATAAACTCAAAATGGATTTAGAGACCTAAATGTAAGAGCAGACACTAAAAAACTCTTAGAGGAAAACAGTGGAAGAACACTCTTTGACATAACTCACAGCAAGATCGTTTTTGATCCACCTCCTAGAGTAATGGAAATAAAAACAAAAATAAACAAATGGGACCTAATGAAACTTCAAAGCTTTTGCACAGCAAAGGAAACCATAAACAAGACAAAAAGACAACCCTCAGAATGGGAGAAAATATTTGCAAATGAATCAATGGACAAAGGATTAATCTCCAAAATATATAAACAGCTCATGCAGCTCAATATTAAAAAAACAAACAACCCAATCCAAAAGTGGGCAGGAGACCTAAATAGACATTTCTCCAAAGAAGACATACAGATGGCCAAGAGGCACATGAAAAGCAGCTCAACATCACTAATTATTAGAGAAATGCAAATCAAAACTACAATGAGGTGCCACCTCACACCAGTCAGAATGGGCATCATCAGAAAATCTACAAACAATAAATGCTGGAGAGGGTGTGGAGAAAAGGAAAGCCTCTGACACTGTTGGGGGGAATGTAAACTGATACAGCCACTATGGAGAACAGTATGGAGGTTCCTTAAAAAACTAAAAATAGAATTACCATATGATCCAGCAATCCCTCTACTGGGCATATACCCAGAGAAAACCATAATTCAGAAGGACACATGCACTCCAATGTTCACTGCAGCACTATTTACAATAGCCAGGTCATGGAAGCAATGTAAATGCCCATCGACAGACGAATGAATAAAGAAGATGTGGTACATATATACAATGGAATATTACTCAGCCATAAAAAGGAACAAAATTGGATCATTTGTAGAGACGTGGATGGATCTAGAGACTGTCATACAGAGTGAAGTTAAGTCAGAAAGAGAAAAACAAATATAGTATATTAACACATATATGTGGAGCCTAGAAAAATGGTACAGATGAACCAGTCTGCAGGGCAGAAATTGAGACACATATGTAGAGAAGAAACGTATGGACACCAATCGGGGAAAGCAGGGGGCTGGTGGTGGTGTGATGAATTGGGTGATTGGGATTGACATGTAACACTGATGTGTATAAAATTCATGAGTAATAAGAACCTGCTGTATAAAAAAAAAAAATTAAAAAAAATGTGACAAGACACTAAGTAATAAGCAAATGCTGTTGGAAAAATGGCACCACCACCACCAACAAAAGCCAAAAGAACACGTTATTATATACTACGTAGAAAGAAGATACCCACTCATTCATTCAGTAATACTACGAAAATTTAAAAGTCAAATAATTTATACTGTAACCATCAGTACATCTTTTGGGTAGAAAAAAATTTTTGTTTTATTTTGAATAGCTATTGGACTGAGAGATTCGGGGGTTTTCTATGGCTGGTCCAAAATAATCAGTTTAATATGCTAAGATAATTATACAAAATAGAAATCATGGACCTGCAGATCTGTGCTGAAGAAAATTATGTAAAACCCTAAAAGAAGCCCATTCTAAATAGTGACCAGATTTCAACTTAACTTTACAAACTACCTGCTTTTGCTATACACTTTTTCACATCTCATTTTAAATTTCCCAAGTAAAAAATTTAAATAGAATCAGTAGTTCACAGTCACAATTCAAAACTCTTAACAGAGTTGTTAATTAATACCTCAGAAGGTTTTTCCAGCTTTAGACGGAATTACAGGAACTTGGTATTTTAGCATCAGAAACTCTAAAAGGTAGCTTTCTTTCTTTAAAACTGCTTGGTCTACCACACTTTAACAAGTAATTTTGTTTCCCAAGTGTCTATTGAGAGGATAGGGTCCTTGGAGGTGTGAAATGACCTGGATACCAGAATGCCCCTAACTATGGAGGGTGTGATCCGGAGGGCTTCACATCCACGCCTGTCCACCACAGGTGCCCTTGGGGATTTTGGCCAGCTTTTCCCTACCCCACCTAACCTCTGGTAGAACAGAGGCTTCCTAACTATGTCTTCAGGCCAAGGGTTTCCTTCTCTCTTTTCCCTCCACACTGCCCTTCCCTGACAAGTTAAGCCTCTGTGGAACAGAGAGCTCATATGCCATGAGGTGTAGGTGGCTGCCAGTCAAAAGGCCACATGGGATGAACTGGCAGGGAGTTTTTCAGCTCCAGTGTCCTTGGAATCTACCTGAAGGGCTTAGCAAAAAGGCACTGAAGACTTTTTCCTTATCTGGGCCCCTGCTTTAGGGAGTTGCAAGGATATGATTAGAGGTGACATCATAGTCTGGCAGCTCCAGCAAATCTTACATTCCTATCCACTGCCGTAATTAAAATGATTTTAATCTCTTCCTATTTTATTCACCAAAGATTTATGGGATGCTAATAACTTTCCCCATACCCCCTATCCTCTTGCTTCTTATCCAAATTCTTACAATGTAAGGATATCAAATTACCCACAGAGTTTGAATTAAATGCCTGTGGCTGTTTCTGCATAAAAATCCTGGGGAAATAAAGAACAACTTCCTTAGAAAGTTCCTAGTTGTAGGTTTTACAAGCCCAGAGTCAGCTGGAGAGAAGAGTTCTTTCCAGGCATAGGATTAGGTTTTCCCATGGAAGTTTCTGTCTTCTGCTTATTCATATTTTACTCTGTATAAAAGCTCTAAAAATAGTCCAAGGACAGAATTTTAGGAATCTCTACGTTAAATTTACATTGGTCTATTCCTCATCAATGAGCTTTGGGCCAAAGCCCAATGTGATCTCATACCCTAATGTTTTTATCTTTCCAAAGCAGTGTCTCCTGGAGTTCAAACACCTCTTTTGTCATGGTGTCTATTCTCTGCTGCATACGCTGATTCTCCTGCAGAGGAAGAGGGGAAGAGAAGTAATAAAAGAGCAGAAAGAAAAAGAGGACGGGGTTAGAGGGAGGAAAACAGAACAAAAATAAAGCTGATAAAGAAACTTAACAAAAGCAGAAAGTCTGTGATCAACAGGAAAGATGGCATCCAGTGTCTTAGAAGGAAAGATGACATCCAGCGTCTTGGCGCTGTGTCGGTATGACAGCAAGCGAGGGGACTGGGGGCAGCTGCTCCAACCACATCTATGAGGCAGCAAGCCAGATGGGGCTTCTGTGTACACCCAGCTCCACACATGTACTCTTCCTCTCATAAGTGCCTTTCCCCCAAACATGGGACAACTTACACTTTTAGAGAGGGAAATTCAGATTTTCTTATGAACAAATGATCCTTATCACAGACAACGAGCAGTAGTAGTTTTGAACCCTATTTTTTTAAGAAGAACTAAAAAACTACAAGAGGGCCATAGCTCAATCATTTTGAATTCCTGTTAGCAGAATCTATGATAGCAAGAACATCATAAATTACACATTTCACATCAGTTTTTAGAAAAACTAGATTACTAGCATTTAGCAATTCGTAACTCTTCTGACTAGGCACTGATGCTCAATTTATACTCTCTTATATTTAGCAGGTTCTTTTATGCATTATCGGTAAATTATCATCTTCCACTTTCCCTA